TGTGGGAAAGGATCAGGCTCTGGGCTTTCTTTTTTCCTTTCTATGATGTGACTGAAGTTGTATGGTGTGTGGATGAAAAACAAACCTCAAGTTCTCCAGGTTTGGCAAGTACTCTTGCTACGTAAACAGGGTACAGTGATGCCTGTCCTTAATCTAGAAACTGGCCTGACAATGCCTACCTCTCCATCATGTCAAAAAAGTTTTTAAGGAGGGTAAACACAAATTTATACAGGAGTTTTCGTGGTTTTCAAGCAAATTGGTTCATGTGGGTATCTAGCTTATGATTTTACTAAAAATGGATGCCCTTGAAGCTGTGTTTTGCAGTGACCTTGAGGCTCTTAATTATATATAAATGAGCAGAGAAACCACGAGGTTCAGGGTTCAGTGGAGGACGAAGGAAAACTTGGTCGAGAAAGTAGTTTAAAGGAGTGGAAGGACTCTAAAATAAAGCCATTTTATGGAGAATGGCTCTGTTTGATGTAATGTTTACATTGGTTTTTATTTTAATGGTTCAATTGAGCCTTTCCTTGTACCAGCTGTAAACATTTTTCAGGATACAAATATTGTATTACCTACTATTCTATGATGTACCAGATTCAATGTTTTTTACTTCTTTTCTCTGTGTTTGAGCAAAGCCACAATCCAAATCATTTCTTGGAAAAAAATGTTTTGGGGAAAATAATTCAAGAGTTTTTAAATTTCTTAAAATTTCATTTCATCCACTGATTGTACTTCCAGGAATAGTTATGGTGAAATAATTCAATATAGGAAGAGATACAAATAAAAGTATTTCCCAAGTGTTAGTAATAACATAGAGAAACTGAATATACATTAGAGTCCAAAAATAGGGGACTACTTAAAAAGTTAGGGTGTTTGGGGGCACCTGGTTAACTTAGTCACGTTAGCCTCTGACTCTTGATTTTGGCTCAGGTCATGAATTTATGGTTGGTGGGTCAAACCCTGCATCAGGATCCATGCTAACAGTGCAGAGCCTGCTTAGGATTCTCTCTCTCTCTCTCTCTCTCTCTCTCTCTCTCAATCTCTCTCTCTGCTCCTCCCTACTCTCTCTTTCTCAAAATAAATAAATAGACTTAAAAAAAATCAGGATATTTTCATTAGATGAAACATTACACAACCACTAAGATTACATTTTGGCAAACTGCAGCATAGCTTGGGAAAATGCTAATGACAAAATGTTTATGGTAAAAGTCAGGATATATATCTATATGTAGCTATATATTTATTTGAAAAGTATAAAAATATATTTATATATTTATATATTTATATGGCTCAGTCAGTTAAGCATCGGACTTTGGCTCAGGTCATGATCTCACACTTAATGAGTTCGAGGGTCATGATCTCACAGTTTGTGGGTTCGAGCCCTGCATGGGGCTCTGTGCTGACAGCTCGGAGCCTGGAGCCTGCTTCACATTCTGTGTCTCCCTCTTTCTCTGCCCCTTCCCCAAGTGCGCACGCGCGCGCGCTCTCTCTCTCTCTCTCTCTCTCTCTCTCTCTCAAAAGTAAACATTAAAAAAAAAGATAACAGCAGATAAATGATGGTGAAAGCTTTCACATAATTGCTAAACATTTGTTGATGGGACAAAAGATATATTTGATGAAACAGTTAAGCATTTAGGCCCCTGACATGTTTTTGGATGGATAATTAGAATATTACCAGAAAAGGGGAGGGATGAGAACATGTAAAAACTGAATTAGTAAAATATTAGACTAATCATCAAAAATATTGCAGTACTGAAATTCTTTTTTTTAATGTTTATTTTTGAGAGAGAGAGAGACAGCTCAAGTGCCCGCTCACAAGTGGGGGAGCGGCAGAGAAGGGGGACAGAGGATCTGAAATGGGCTCCATGCTGAGAGCAGCAAGTCTGATGTGGGGCTCAAAGTCACAAACCTTGAGATCATGACCTGAGCCAAGGTTGTACGCTCAACCAACTGAGCCACCCAGGTACCCCTGCAGTTCTGAAATTCTTGGGCAAAATTGTATATACTTTCTTACAGATTATTAAATAAATAAATGCAAAGTCTCAGTCTTTCATCCAAATTATAATTAATATCACCAGCAGAAACAATCGATACAAAATACTGGCAACAATATACTGCACACAGAAAAATGTTTGTTAGACATTTTATAAACCTGATAAAAGAATCATGTTAAAATCTAGAACTCTTGACTTGGTAGAATTAACAACAAAAAAATAAACTCTGAATTTCTAGATTTTTGTCATGAGAAATCAATTGCTTTAAAAGTGTAGTAAATAAATTTTCCATGATCAATTTTATTGAAAGTTTATTCCCAGACTAACTGAGAAGGATAGATAGTATCATTTAATTTGTAGACCCTCAAATAGCAGGACTAGTCTTCCTGGAAAGTCAGCAGGAGCTCAGAAAGGAGCAGTATTGGATGAACGTGGGGAGAATGGAACGGGCGTCACTGTTGAGGTGGTCAAGAACCTATACAAGAACCCCATAGCACAGAATGAAGCAGAGGAAAGCCCCACCTGCAAGGAACCAAAAGACCTTGAACAAAGGGCAAATTGACAGTGACTAGTGTGATCTACAAAATGATGGGCTTTTCTTCAGTGATCTGGATCCTTTGTGCTATTCTTGTAGAAGAGACAACATCTGTGCTGGTTATATTCTGTTCTTCTCTGGCCGTAACCCCTTAATTCTACACCTTCTTCTATTCTGCTTTGTGCTTACCCTCTGGCTTTCTGAATGGTTTGGCCAATGAGAGGCGCTGACTAAAGTTCAGAAAGGGAGGAGAGAGAGAGGCCAAAGACACATTTTCTTTCTCCTTGCTTTGGCATGTTCCTGGCAGGGAATGCATCATTCTATGAATAGATTTTCTTCCAAAACTCTAGTTTTCATGCAGGCTCTCATAACACCATTCCCATTGCCACTTTGGATGTTGGCCTGATAGTTTCCCATTAGTATTAGCCTCTGGGTACCTCAGCACACAGTATGTGTCCCTTAATCCTGCTTAATCTCTATAAATGTTTCCTCCATTCAAAAGTCTCTTCAAACATTCCAGCCAACTGTGAACTATTGCCATAAACTCCATATGCGTTCTATCTCAAAAGCATAAAACGATACCAAACCCAAGTGGACTAATCAGGACTGTTGGCACCACTACCATATTAGAAAGGAAGTCAAGGTCACTTGCTCAGGGGAGAGAACAAATTCTTCAAATCATAATCATTTTCTATATGCTTGGCTGTCATGTACCTGCCGTTTTTTGATTCAAAATTGAAGGAGGCTCTGGGTATCTGTGGGAACTGTAAATACAAGACAACTCGTTCTAAATTGCCACCCTCTTGTGCATTCTTTAGAAACCAGCACACACACCACCTCCCTTTTTCATCTAGAGGTAACAGAACTTCCCCATAACATAATGTGTTCTTCTCAACTGAAGAATAATGAAAATAATGTTCTCAAAAATAGGGCATTTTGAAAGGATTCTAGGAAGATGGTAGAATAGGAACCATCAGGAAATGCCTAGAATAGTCAAAAGTATAGAGACAGAAAGCAGAATTGTAGTTTCCAGCAGATAGGGAGGGGGGATGGAGAAAGGGAGGATTTATTGTTTAATGAGTTTCAGTTTTGTAAGATAAAGAGTTCTGGTGATGGGTGGTGGTGATTGATGGCTGCACATCGATGTCAATGTACTTAATACCTCTGAACTGTACACTTAAGAATAGTTAAGATAGTAAACATTGTTATATGTATTTTACAACCATAAAAGTTTGGGGAAAAAAGAAAAAGTGCCAGTTCAGTGACCACCTTTAGTCTTCTCAAAAGCTCAAGGAGGAAAACAGGGATGTGGCTGCCCAGAAACCTCACATTTCCAATCTTGTTTGCCAGTAGCAATGGCCAAGACCTGAAAAAAGGGGGGGGAGGTCTCCACCAAATTTCCTTCCATCCAAATCTCATGCTACTGTATCACATTGGCATAATTCAATTCTTATCCAGAAGAGTTTGAAAAATGTAATTTTAGCTTTGCAATTATTTCAAATAGAAGGAAGATCCAACAGAGGTTGAGAAAATTAATTCAAGTATCTTCTGCAATGATTTTCTATATCTTAGGATAAATAACATTGTTAAGCAGCATGTTGAGTTGAGTGAATTCCAGCAAACCATAGAATTAGTGGATAATGATGGGGCATCATATACTTGATTAGAGAGAAGGAAGTTTTGGCATGAAAAAAGTCACTGGAAAAAATGGCAGAGCAGGAGGATCCTAAGTTCACCTCATGTTAGGGACACATCTAGATAATAGCCACATCAGTGCACCCAACCTGAAAAATGACCCAAAGACTAGCAGGCAATTATAGAAAGGAGGTCCCATCAAAAATGGCAAGAGTGGTGGAGATGTGATCTGGAATCAAACTGCCAATGAGACAAACCACAAACGGGAGTGACATCACAAGCACAAAGAAAGGGAGAAGCAGACCTCACACCAGACATCCCAGGCACAGGTGTTCTGCACTGGGAAGATGAATCCCCATAACATTAGGCTTTGAAAACCAGAGGGGTTTAACTTTGTGTGTTTTTATAACCAGCAGGGCTTATCTGCAAGTACTTTAAAAATCAGGAGGCTTGGCTCTGGAAGATGGGGACTTGAGTCCCCACCCTTTAAAGAGAAAGCATAACAAACAACCCGCTGAGATACAGCATACACGCAGCAGTTTGAAAAGCGCGTGGAGTATACTTGAAGGAGATATATTTATTAATCTCAGAATAGGGGTTGGAGATACAAGGATCTTTAGGAGACTTCAAGAATAAAACATCTACTGGGCACCACTTCCCTCCTCCTGTCCCCATCCTAGACAACAGGACACCTGTGGGGACCAGTGCAAACACTCTCCACCTGTCTTGTTAACACATGTGGCCCAGTACTGCTTTGTCCTGTGGATCCACCCTATCCAACCAGCCCCACCAGCTCTGGAGTACCTCCAGAGCAGCTCCTTCCCTTCTCATCCCACAAGTAGTAATAGTAGGGACCAGCACCACTCCAAAGTGACTTCTTCTCTGGGGAGAGAGAAAGATAACTACACACACTAATTTGATTGCATCCCTTCAGGAAAACCTTACAACTGGCAGTACAGAGAGTGCCCTACTGATGAGTATGTCTGCAGCAGCAGACTGTAGGGGCAGGTATCTGATCTGACTGTCAGCCTTGCCCATCAACAAAAACCTCTCAGGGGTAGCACAGGGAGGGAACTCTGAAGTTCAGGGTCACTGCAGTCTGGGCAGATGGATTGGAGGCAATTATCTGGTTTGTGTGCAGACTTTAACCACCAACTAAAGCTTCTCAGGGGACCACACAGGGAGAGTGACCTCAGCAAAGGGACTGAGGACAGGAATCTGGTCTGACTGCTGAAAATGCTCAACTACAAGCCCATGATGGCTCCAGACTGGCCCCTTCACAGCATAGGAAGCACAACTTTCCTACAACAGGCAAAATGGGTCATTGTAGCTGACTGAACTAAAAACAAATGAGGCTCAGCCACAACATTATGTAACCTACATAGGAGACACCCCTGAAATGTCTAGTTCTGGAGAACAGGGGACACTGTGCTACAGGGAACAAGCCTCTTCATAAGGTCGCTACTTTCAAGATTAGGAAACATAAGTGACTTTCTGAATACATAACAACAAACACAAAGAGTTAGACAAAATAAGGAGACAGAGGAGTAAGTCTCAAATGAAAGAAAAGGACAAGGCCCCAGCAAATGGGCTAAATGAAATGGAGAAAAGCAATATGCCTTATAGATCATAAATCTATCTGTGCCTTATAGTATAGATCCGTACTTACTGAACTTGAGAAAAAATGGAGAATCCCAGTGAGACCTTGAAAAGAGAGAGAGAAAATATTTTAAAAGAACCAATCAGAGATGAAGAACTCAACATCTGAAATTAAAAATACACTAGAAGGGTGGTGCCTGGGTGGTTCAGTCGGTTAAGTATCCGACCTCAGGTCAGGTCATGATCTCACAGTTCGTGAGTTCGAGCCCCGCATTGGGCTCTGTGCTGACAGCTCAGAGCCTGGAGCCTGCTTCCAATTCTGTGTCTCCCTCTTTCTCAGTCCCTCTCCCCCTCATGCTCTGTCTCTCTCTCTCAAAAGTAAAAATAAAATGTTAAAAAAAAACTTTAAAAAATATACTAGAAGGAATCATTAATAGACTAGAGAAGGCAAAAGAATGGATCAGAAAACTGGAAGACTGGGTAATGGGAAACAACCAAGACCTCCCCCCCCAAAAAAAAAGAACAGCAAAAACAAAAAAAGAATAAAAATAATTGAGGATAGGTTAAGGAAACTCAGCAACATCATCAAGCATAATAACATTCACATCATAGGAATCCCAGAAGGAGAAGGAGGAGTAAAGGGAGAGAGAAAAATTATTTGAAGAAATAATAGCTGCAAACTTCCTTAATTTGGGCAAGAAAACAGACTTCTAGATCCAAGAGGCACAGAGAGCGTCCAACAAAATCAACCTAAGGAGGTCCACACCAACACACATAATAATTAAAATGGCAAAAGATAGTGATAAAAAGTAAAATTTTTAAGCAGCTAGAGAAAAGAAAACAGTTCCATACAAGGGAAAAAACCATAAAGCTATCTGCTGATATTTCAACAGAAACTTTGCAAGCCAGAGGGGAGTGGCATGACATATTCAAAGCTGAAAGACAAAAACCGGCAACCAAGAATACTCTATCCAGCAAAGTTATCATTAAGAATAGAAAGAGAGAAAAGCATTCCTAGGCAAACAAAAGTTAAAAGAGTTCATCTCTCCTAAACCAGCCTTACAAGAAATGCTAAAGGAAATTCACTGAGTGGAAAGGAGGGCCCATAATCAGGAGAAAGAAAATTAGGAAAGAAAAAAATTTCACAGGTAAATATGAATATAACCAAAGTAGTCAATTATTCACTTAAAACTAGTATGGAGGTTAAAGCACAGAAAGAGTAAAATCAATTTTATCTATAAATCAGCCAAGGGATTCACAAAATAAAAGGATTTAAAGTGTGACATTATATGCACACACACAAAAAAGGGATTAAGATTTAGTGCTTTTAGAATGGGTTCAAACTTATATGACCATCAATTTAATATAGACTGCTATGTGCATAAGATGTTATATACTAGCCTAATGGTAACTACAAATCAAAAACTTGTAACAGATATGCAATAAATACAGAGAAAGAAATTCAATCATATTACTTAGGCAAGCCATAAAATCATAAAAGAAGTGAACAAGAGAAGAAAGAAACAAAGGCCTACAAAAGCACCATAGATAAAATAACAAAATGTCAATAAGTACACACCAACAACAATTACTTCAAATGTAAGTAGACTAAATGGTCCATTCAAAAGACATAGAATGAATAAATGTATAAAAATAACAATGACAACAACAACATCCATCTACATGTTGCATACAGGAGACTCACTTCAGACATGCAGGTTAAAAGCAAAGGGATGGAGAAACATTTACTATGAAATGGAAGCAAAAAGAAAACTGGTACATCAATACTTAAATAGGACAAAATAGACTTTAAAACAAGACTGTAACAGAGACAAAGAAGGACATTACATAATCATAAAGGGAATAATTGAACAAGAAGATATAAGAATTTAAATATTTATGCACCCAACATTGTAGGATCTAAATACATAAAGCAACTATTAACAGACATTAAGGAAGAAGCTGACAGTAATACAATAATAGTAGGGGACCTTAACAACCCACTTATATCAATGGCTAGATCATCCAAATAGAAAATCAACAAGGAAACCATGGCTTTGTATGACACATTGGACCAAATGAACCGCACACATATATTCAGAACACTCCATCCAAAAAGAGCAGAATATAAATTCTTTTTAAGTGTACGTGAAACATTATCAAAAACATATCATATTAGGCCGCAAAACAAGTCTCAATAAATGCAAAAGGATTGAAATCATGTCATGCATCTTTTATAACCACAATGGTATGAAACTAAAAATCAATCACAAGAAAAAATCTGGAAAGAACAAAAATCTGTGGAGGCCAAATAATATGCTACTAAACAATGAATGAGTCAACTAATAAATCAAAGAGGAAATTAAAAAATAGAGAGAGACAAATGAAAATTAAAACAACAACTCAAAATACTTGGGATACAGCAAAACTATTCCGAGAAAAAAGATTATAGCAATATAGGCCTACTCAAGAAGCAGAAAAAGATCTTAAATAAACAACCTAACTTTACTGCTAAAGGAGCTAGAAAAAGAATAAACAAAGCCCAAAGCCAGTAGAAGGAAGAAAATAATATATAGTAGAAATAAATGAAACCAAAGACTAAAATAATAATAGAACAGATTGATGAAACCAGAAGCTGGTTTTTTGAAAAGATCAACAAAATGGATAAATGTTTAGTTAAACTCATCAAAAAAGAAGAGAGATGACTTAAATAAAATCAGAAACGAAGGAGGAGATATAACAACTTACACCACAGAAATACAAAGGATAATGAGAATATTATAAAAAATTGTATGCCCAAAAGTTGGACAACCAAGAAGAAATGGATAAATTCCTATAAACATATCACCTTCCAAGAATGAGTCAGAGGGCTTCCTGAGTGGTTCAGTTGGTTAAACTTCTGACTTTGGCTCAGTTCATGATCTTACAGCTCATTAATTCAAGCCCTGCGTTGGGTTCTGTGCTGACACCTTGGAGCCCAATTTGGATTCTGTGTCCCCCTCTCTCTCTGCCCCTCCCTGCTTGCACTCTGTCTCTCTCTGTCCCTCAAAAATAAATATTTAAAAAATAAACAACAAAAAACAGAAAACAAAAAACAAAAAAAATGAGTCAGAAATAAATAGAAAACTTGAAGAGACTGATTATTAGCAATGATACTGAATGAGTAATCAAACTTCTAAAAAACAGAGATCCAGGGAAAAATGGCTTCATGGGTAAATTTTATGAAACATTTAAAGATGAGTTACAACCCATTATCTTCAAACAATTCCAGAAAATAGAAGAGGGAAGAAAACTTCCAAATTTATTCAACCAGGTCAGCATCATCTTGATGTCAAAACCAAATAAAGACACTCCAAAAAGAAAACTACAGGCCAATGTATTTTATGAACATAGATGCAAAAATCCTCAACAAAATATCAGCAAACAGAATCTACCAATATATTAAAAAATTATTCACCACAATCAAGCGAGATTTATTCCAGGGATGCAAAGGTGGTTCAATATTCACAACTCAATCAACATGATGCATTGCATCAATAAGAGAAAGGATAAAAACCATATGATCATCTCAATAGATGCATAAAAAGCAATGGACAATGTACAACATCCATTTGCAATAAAAAATTCTCAACAAAGTAGGTTTATAGGGAATATACCTTAACATAATAAAAGCCATATATGAAAAACCAACAGTGAGCATCATATTCAGGTGGTGAAAAGCTGAGAACTTTTCTCATAAGATCAAGAACAAGAAAATGATGTCCACTCTCACCATTTTTATTCAACATAGTACTAGAAGTCCTAGCCAAAGTAATCAGACATGAAAAAGAAATGAGGCATCCAAATTGGTAAACAAGAAGAAAAACTTTCATGATTTGCAGATGGCATAATACTATATGTAGAAAACCTTAAAGACTACCAAAAAATTAATAGAACTGATAAATTCTGTAAAGTTCCAGGATGCAAAATCAATATACAGAAATCTGTTGCATTTTCTATACATTGATAATGAAGTAGCAGAGAGAAATTAAGAAAGCAACCCCATTTATAATTGCACCCAAATAATAAAATATCCAAGAATAACATTAACCAAAGACCTATAGCCTAAAAATGGTAAAACATTAACAAAAGAAATTGTTGCACTATTAGTGGGAAAAAATTGAAGATGACGAACACAAATGGAAAGATATTTCATGTTCATGAATTAGAAGAACCAAGCAATTTACAAATTTAATGCAATCCTTATCCAAATACCAACAACAATTTTTACAGACCTAGAACAAATAATACTAAAATGTATATGAAGCCATGAAATACCGTGAATAGCAAAAGAAATCTTGAGAAATAAGAAAAAAGCTAGAGGTATCACTATTCCAGATTTCACGATATAGTACAAAGCTGAAGTGATCAAAGAAGTGTTGCACTGGCACTAAAATAGACACATAGATTAGTGGAACAGAACTGAAAGTCCAGAAATAAAACCAGGATAATATGGTCAGTTAGTCCATGCCAAAGGAGGCAAGAATGTGCAATGAGAAGAAGGCAGTCTCTTTAACAAAAGGTGTTGGGAAAACTGGACAGCTACATGTGAAAGAATGAAATTGGACCATTTTCTTACACCATACTCAAAAATAAACTCAATATAAAGACCTAAATGTGAAACCTGAAACCATAAAATTCCTAGAATAAAACATAGGCAGTAATTCCTTTGACATCAGCTGTAGCAACATTTTCCTGGATACATCTCCTGAGGCAAGGTAATCAAAAGCAAAAATAAACAATTGGAACTCCATCTAATTAAAAAGTGTTTGCACAGTGCACAGTGCACGAAAAAGTAGTACACTGAGTGGGAGATGATATTTGTAGATGATAGACAAATGAGGGATTAATATCCAAAATATATAAAGAACTCATGCAATGCACACATACACATAATGATGATGATGATAATAATAATAATAATAATAATAATAACACTTTAAAATGGGAAGAGGACTTAAATAGACATTTTTCAAAGAGATATAAATGGCCAGCAAACACATGAAAAGATGCTTAGAATCACTAACCATCAGGAATATAAAAAGTAAATTTACAATGAGATATCT